GAAACACAGTTACTCCAGTCACCAGCCTCATACTTCAAGGACAAGCTAGGACCATCGGCTCAGAGCTCAGATTTGTGTCTGATCCTTGACTTAAGGAGGTTCCAGAGAACATAGACAACGGCTGTTAGTAAAGACTTACAATGAGTGCAGATACCACTGTGTTATTGCCAGGATCATCTCAGCCAATGATCACGCATTTCCTTATCTAGGTCTTCCTCCTCTGTTTTAGTCATGTCCCCAAACGATGGTGAAACATTCCCAGCTCACTGTGCAATCATTTGTGAAGTTTAATGCCTGGCTCTGGCAAAGGAATACCACTCACAGTGATGTGTCTATGCACAACCATTGGTCTATCATTTGTTTAAGAAATTGGCTGATGCTCCAAGAAGCTTGTGGAGTACAGTATTTAATCCCAGAAAAATGCACTGAACTCTGTGTTGTAAGATGATGAAAATTCCCATCCACGTTTCAGAAAATCTTTGGGAGGTTCAAAAGTAGGATGTGGTCTGAGAGATGATAAGATTAACATTGAGACTAAAATCTACACATCCTAGAACTTGGAGCTCTTGTAAATGTTCTTGGAATCATGCTCACCATCTAGGTAGACATTTTTCATGCATCTGTTCTTAATATACTAACTGATTGACATAGATGGTGTTCACCTCATCCTCCTTGAACAGTGGTCCATAATCCTCATGTTCCCTATGCTTGTGGCTGTTGTTCAGCAAGGATGCTAAGGCAGAGGAACAGACAGAAAGAAAAGCAAATGAAGTGGGGTTTGGGTGGAGATGAATGTGAGTGGTAAAAAAAAGTTGGAGGAGGGGAAAAAGAGTTTAAGGAATAGGAAGGTGAAGGGATAATCAGAGCAGGGAAATGGGAAAGCAGTGTTTAGGGAGGTACGTGGAAAGGGCTTAGGCTATTGGGCTAAGATCCCCTGAATCCTTGACCACACACAATCAACAAGGAATAATAAAGTGCAACTTGTCTAAAAGAGGTGAAAGCATGTCCTTTTTCCTTTTTTTGGCACATTAATGGAAAACAAATTTCCCTTCCCTTCTCCCAGAAACAGTTTTCAGATGAAGCAGCCCCCTCTTGTGACTGAATAAAAGAACTGGAGAGCTAAGCCCAGACCAAAAGTCAACAAGCAACTGTTTGAAAAGTTCCTCAGGTCTGAAGGTAAACAGGCTTCCCAGGTGACTCCCTGATGGTTCAGTTGGTAAAGAACCCACCTGCAATGCAGGAGACCCTGGTTCGATTCCTGCATTGGGAAGATACACTGGAGAAGGGATAGGCTACCCACTCCAGTATTCTGCCGGAGAATTGCATGGACTACAGTCCATGGGCTCACAAAGAGTCAGACACGACTGAGAGACGTTCACTTTCACTTCAGGTGACTCTAGTGGTAAAGAACTCACCTGCCAATGCAGGAGATTTAAGAGACACAGTTTCAATCCCTGGATTGGGACGATCCCCTGGAGAAGGTCATGGCGACCCACTTCAATATTCTTGCCTGAGAATCCCTTGGACAAGGGAGCCTGCTGGGCTATAAACCACGTGTTCGCAGGGTCAGACACGACTGAAGCGACTTACCACACAGTGCACACATCTTACTTGTAATACCTCTGTACTCATCTGTATTTTCTTGGTCCTAAACACTCTATAGAAGGTTTTAATTATCTTTGACTGCTTTATTGCAGTCATATGATTCTCACTTCTTGATCTCTTTAGTTTTCGTTTGTATCCAACATTCCCATATTTAAAATTTACTCAAAAGCCCATATAATTCAAATACTTATAAGAGAGGTCGGTACAGACTAGGCACTCAAGACTTATCTGTTTGCTGAATGAGACAATGAATTTATTGAATTTAATGAAAACGTTTTGTTGAATACTGTTTAAATTGTTTAAATTAAGGGATTTGATTTAGGTCGTACCTGAATGGCCTAGTGGTTTTCCAGCCTTTCTTCAATTTAAACCTAAATTTTAAAATAAGGAGCCCATGATCTGACCACAGTCAGCTCCAGATCTTGTTTTTGCTGACTGTATAGAGTTTCTCCATCTTCGGCTGCAAAGAATATAACCAATCTTATTTCTGTATTAGCCATCTGGTGATATTCAAGTGTAGAGTGGTCTCTCGTGTTGTTGGAAGAGGGCATTTGCTATGACCAGTGTGTTTTCTTGGCAAAACTGTATTAGCCTTTGCCCTGCTTCATTTTGTACTGCAAGTTCAAACTTGCCTGAACTAAGTTTGCATTGCTTCCTGAGTTTGCATTCTAATCCCCTGTGATGAAAAGGGCATCTTTTTTTGGTGTTAATTCTAGAAAGTCTTGCAGATCTTGATAGAACCGCTCTTCACAGATCTCGTTAGGTTCCATGTTAACCATAATGTCGCCATCGCTGAAACATCCATTCATCCTCTTCTGTGTCAAGTGATTTTTCATACACAAATCTCCAAGGAGCCCTATAAATGGTACACTCAGGATGACAATGAAAGTTTGAGACATTTTTCAGTTAGGAAAGTTATGTCTCATTTCCCAAAGATTACAAGCATTGGAACAATAAAATGTGTCTCATAGGGTTTTTATATTTAGCTTATATAATGAATCAAAAATGCATTCTACAGTTCCTGACATATAGTAAGTTCAGTACATTTCAACTTTCTTTATTCTACTAAAACTTGCCTTTCCTTCAGTGTCCAGATCTGTGATCTGCTTCCCGCCCCCCACCCCCCACCCCACCACATCAGTTCAGGGATGGATGTTTCTAGGACATTTACTTAATCTCTTATTTTCTTGGAGACAGTCATTATTTTTTCCTTAACCTTTTGATACCATATACAACTAACTACATTGATACATTGATCCATCAGGGTGTTGGAAGGACACAGATGGAACAGGGGAGGTTTGATTTGGGTTTTCTAAAAACAGTAAAATCAAGGGCATCTTGCATGTTTACTACCTATTGGATATAATATTTTTGATTTGGATCTCTAAGATTTTGCTACTCTGATCAACTGTTTTCTCTTCTTTTTGATTTACGAGCTCTTAATATATTCTGCATTTGATTCCTTTTTCAGAACTGTATTTTTCATATATTGCCTTCCATGCTGGTGTTGACTTTCCACTCTCTTAGCAGTGATTTTCAATAATGACCAAAAAAAGGCAATTAAAAAATATACATTCATGCTCATAAGAATCTCCCTTGCAAGTTTTATTTGCTTGGTTTCTTTAGAAAAGTTAGAAATGCTTTCCTTTTGTGACTTCTGTTGCTTGTGATGATAGTTATCACTGTTAATGATATTTCCCAGAATACAATGAATCAATTTCCCGTGAATATTAGCAAGATTTTTTTCCATGAAAATAGACCCTTGGATTTGTCTTCAGTGCCTTGCAAATTTCTGCTAAAACTATCCTAGTCGACTTTCAGAATTTCTTATTCATCTTTATGGCTTTCCACATAGCAATGCTCCTGCATAAGCAGCTTGCTTTATAGGAATTCAAGTACAACAGTGAGTGGAGGTTCTTACGATGATAAAGAGCTTATGGAATGGGTAATAGATGAGGTAGTTATAAATCCTAGTTACAATCATGTGGTCATTTGCAGCAATAACAAAAGCAATAGTCATTAATGAATCGCCAGCCCAGGTTCGATGCATGATACAGGGTGCTCGGGGCTGGTGCACTGGGATGACCCAGAGGGATGGGAAGGGGAGGGAGGTGGGAGGGGGGTTCAGGATTGGGGGGGGAAAAAGTACATTAAATAAAGTAAGATAAATACAATTACTATGCAAAAAAGCAAACAAAAGCAATAGTAGTTATAAAATTATTTTCATTTTATGTGAATGTATTTATGTATACATTAACCATTTTTAACTTCCCTCTCCTGTTTGCCTGCCTGTCTAACATAAAATATGCCACTACAAATTAATCTTTATCTCACTGTATCTCAGTAGTTAAGATACAGGATTCAATGGGAGAGTGTGTTTAACTAGAAGAGGAAAGAACCTTAAACAGATAAATAAACTTAGTATTCTCTTTGAAGGAGACAGCTTGTTTTGGCTGAATGAAGAATACTTGCAACATATTAACAGCAAACATAGTTTTATTGTGTTCCTTATTAGAAAGCTGTGATGTTCAAAGAGGTACTGATGAATGCTTAGTTAACAAGGGAAGTTAACTAGTCAAGCTATTATGGTAGCTTATGTACAGTCTCAACAATATGAAAATCGATTTCCCAGGATTTGCTTCCCTGTATTGTTCTGGGTTAGGTTGGCCCTGAAAGAGATTTGTGTAAGTTTTGGAAGGTACTTATGATGAAGTAGCATGTTTCTATGTTCCTCAGGTTGGTACAGGGCTCCAGGGACTATGGCAATACGTACTGTTGCTGCTGCTCTGATAGTTCAATTTATTGTTGACTTAAAACCTCTTGACCTTCCACCAGATATCTTACTCATGTTCTCTTTGTATGAGACCAAGTATGCAATGTAGCATGATGGCAAATGACATCCACTTCTCCTGAAGTTCACCCACTACTGTGAGCCCTAAGGAGGTTAGAGAAAGACAAGTTTTGGTGGTTCCGGTGTCCTCATATATTTCCATACATGTCACAGTTTGTCCATGCTTTTGTCCACATCCAGCTTTCCTTCACAAATGTTACTCTAGTTGACTTACAGTAAATTCAACTCAACACCAAATACAAATGTTTTTTATGGACTCTCCCACCAGCTCTCACCATTGCCTGTGTTCTAATCCTTATAACTAATCTCTTACTCTACATCACGTGGTGCTCCTCTGATTGTGCCCCTACACAAACTCTGAGGGGAAAGCACTAAGGAAATGATTTTCATGACAATTTCAGCTTCTAGATCCAGATTTGTGATATGAGCCTTTTCCGGTGAAACTGCTATTCTATGTTCTTATGGGGCAAGTTTTTAAATTTAGACAACTTTACACATGTTCTATGTGGCTGATTTAAAGTAAAAAATTCAGGAGGAGAATGTTTCAGTAGAAAGTTACTCTGGACACCTGCTTCCAAATGACATAGAAGGAGCTTTTATTTAGAATTAAATCTTCTGATCCAGACCACAGATGAAGCAACCACAGGACTACCCTTTCTTGTCTGGGGTCTGCAGGTGTGTATTTCAGCCTGGGTCCCGCAGCAGGGGGGCTCTCTCTTATTAAGCTCTGGGGTTTTTGTTCAGCTTTTCCTATTACTTCAACCACTGTGAGTTCCCAGAGAGTGCAGAAGTACTTTGCAGAGTCTTCTAGCTGTAAGTCTGAAATGGTGAGGCTGATGGATCTTTGTGATCTCTGAACATTTATAGAGTAACGGCCATCCCTTGCATTCTGGCTAGAAGAACCCTGATGAATAAGGTAAATCATCTCTCCACTGGGAAGTTGTTTATACCAAAAAATGGTGTAACTGCTCACTCTTGTCTCATGTCGACAGCTCAGGGTGACTACCTCCCCAACTTGACTGGAAATGTCTGGCTGATCTTGAGTAACTCTCTGGGCTACACTGGATCCTGTGGGGAAAATCAGAAAACAGAGATGGAGCAGTGAATAAAATAGTATAGGAATTAGACTGAAAAACCCAAGCTGAAATCATAAGATATTTGCTTCTCTTTTAGAATACCTACCAGAGAAGATGAAGGCCAGGAACACCCAGGGCAGACTGGAGGGCAGCATGAGGCATGGGTTCCCCTGCACAGATGTGCTGAGTCCTGCCTCAAGCTGAGCATTCAGTGTCTCTGTGAGCCTGGAAGCGCATATACATAGTATCTGGTTCCCGTGTGACTCCTTCAGACAGGAAGTGGGGTTGTCATGTTCATAGGTAACATGGTCTGTGCACAGACGGGGAAAAAAAGTCTAGCTCACCACAAACCTTTCTTTATTTTTTTTCACAGGTAATTAAATTAGGCTGAGCCTGAAAGGGGGCTTTGCAAAAGCAATTGTTTTAACGGCTTGAACTGAGTGGAACTAAAGAACAAACAAGTTGATTTTCACTTATAATTATTCCCACAGAATAATTTTGCCATCCCATTTAATATAGGATTTTTTTGTTTGTTTTTTTACATTTTTATTGGTGTTTGGTTGGTTTACAGTTTGTGTTACAGCAAAATGAAATGTGCTTTGACAGAGAAATGAATAGAATGTGTTACTTATGTACAATGATTCTGTTGTTGTTCTTTAGTCACTAAGTGGTGTCTGACTCTTTGGGATCCATGGACTGTAACCCTCTAGGCTCCTCTTTCCATGGGATTTCCCAGGCAAGATACTGGAGTGGGGTGTCATTTCCTTTTCCAAGGATCTTCCTGAGCCTGGAATCGAACCCATGTGTCCTGCTTGGCAGGTGGATTCTTTACTGCAGAGCCACCGGGGAAACCCCACAATAAAATTCCTCAGCCATGAAAAAGAACAAAATAATGCTGTTTGTAACAAAATGAGCAGGCTAAAATAAGATTTAGTATAATCAATGGACCCTTCTTATAATCTACTTATTTACTAGTCATTCATTTAGCCTATACTTACATTTCTCCATCCAAAATTTAAATACTCTATTGAAAAACTCACAGACTTGTGGTGAAATTTGGTGAAACTTTCCCAAATTTTTGACATATTTTTTTTATAGGTTTTAGGGCTCTATTTGGTTTTTTCAATACATAAAATCATTTCGACATCAAATGATTAAATATCAGTCCTTATAACTTTCAAAGTCTATTCTGTTTTTTATGTTTGTATGAATTTATAACCAGAATAAAATAATTATTCTTTTGAAACTTGATATTGAATCTTATTTATCAGACTTAAAGGAGGATCAGGAAATTCAGTCCCATTCCTTCCACAAGTAGAATTATACTTCTTAGATCATGTGTCTTAGAATTTTCCTCATGTTATTTTTTCTGTCCCACTGGCCCAAAGTGTTCAGTCTCACTAGCTAGTTGCTTGTTATTTTTTTCTTTTTGTTAAGTAAAGTTAAGATAAGCATGTCAGTGCTTTCTGTGCCATAGTACTATAATGCGCTCCAACAAAACTTGGAATCTACAGACTGCAAGCACACAGTATATGTCTATAGCACAGAAGGTGATTACTGAAATTTTGTAAACTGTTACCTGTTTATTTGAATGTAGCTGTCAATTTTCCATTTGGTTTTTACCATTTTAATGTATGTATTAATCTAAAAGAACCAAAGGCAAACAAATAGTAGAAAGGAAGTACAGACAAGGTCTCTAAAGCAGTGCCAGCTCCTTGCTTTTAAGTTGCTTGAGTGGTGTTGTTAATGACTGATGCATGGAGGAGAGTGCACATTTAGTTGAGACATCTCTTCTGCCCCATTTCACTTCTGAGTGCTGACAGGCAGCTGATGCCCTGGTTTGCATGACCAAACCTACTTGTATTTAAGTAGAAGAGATCATGAATGTCCACAGCAACTGGGCAGCAGCATGGTATTGTATATGTAGCATATATAACTACAGATATTATATATATACCAGAAAATTGATATTGATAAAGTATTACTAACATACAGATGATAATCTGATATATCAGCTTTATATGCACTCTTTTTTATGCATAGCTCTGAAATTTTATCACAGGTATAAATTTTTGTACCATCACTAAAATCATGATGCAGAATTGTTCCATCTCTCTAGAGAAAATCATTTTCACACTGTCTCCACCCCTGCAACTCCTAGCAACTACTGATCTTTTCATCTCTATATTTTGTCCTTTTGAGAATGCCATTTAAGTAAATTCATACACTATGCATACAATTGTAATAATATGGTGTGTAAGCACCTATTATGTAGTCTTCTGAGATACTTTTTTTCACTCAGCATTGAGATCCATATAGGCTGTTGCATGAATCAATAGTAAGTTTCTTTTAATCACTACAGACTGTCCCCAACTTTTGATGAATCAACTTAGGATTTTTCACATTACAGTAGTGAGAAACCTAATATGCACTCACTAGAAACCATACTTTGTATTTTTAATTTTTATCTTTCCCCATGCTAGCAACATGCTGTATGACATTCTCTAGTGATGCTGGGCAGCAACAGCAAGCTGAGCTCTCAGTCAACCCTGGGATCATGAGGGTAAACAACTGATACACTCACAACCATTCTGTACCCATACGATCGCACAGAGTCAGGCACGACTGAAGCGACTCAGCAGCAGCAGCAGCACCCACACAACCATTCTGTTTTTCACTTTTAGTGCAACACCTTCAAGATTAGGCCAGGCAGAACTCTGATGCACAGTAGGTTAAGTATATTATATGCATTTTCCACTTACAACATTTTCAACTTAAAATGGTTTATTTAGACTTAACCTTATAGCAAGTTGAGATAGATCTATAAATAATATTGTAATGAATGGGTGTACCACAGCATATTTATTTATTCACACAATGAAGAACATTTGGCTGGGTTACAGTTTTTGGCCATCACATATATAGTTCCCATGAATATTCAAGTACAAATTGTGTGTGAGCATAAGTTTTTCTTTATTCCAGTATAAATGCCCATAAAGGAGTGTGATTGCTGAATTGTAAGGTGAGTGAATATTTAAGTTTATGTGGAACTGCTAAGCTGTCTTCCAGAATGACTGTTCCATTTACTCACCAGCAATGTATGAGTGATCCAATTTCTCTACATCATTGCCAGAACTTGGTATCATCATTATTTTTCATTTTAGCCACTAGGAAAGATGTGGAATGGTATTTCATTGTGGTTTTAATTTGCATTTCCCTGATGGTTAATGATGCTGAACATCTGTTTACATGCTTGTTTCCCTAACACATAGCTCTTCCACGAAATGTCTGGGTGAACCATTTTCCAATTGGACTACTTGTTTTCTTCCTGCGGAGTTTAGACAGTCACTGTTTTCTGAACACCATCCTTTGATGAAAATACATTGTGAAATATTTCCTGCCATTCCGTGGCTTGTCTTTTTCATTCTCTTAATGGTATCTTTCAAAGAGCAAGCATTTTTACTTTTGATGAAACATTTTATTTTTTATGGATTGTGCTTTGATGTCATGACAAAAATAATTTTGCACAATACTTGGTCCTGAAGATTTTCTGTTTTTAAGATTTATAGTTTTAGATTTTACACTTGGATGTATGGTCCATTTTGCAATTTTCCTCAAATTTTTGTATAAGGTGTGAGATTTAGGCCAAGACTCAGTTATTTGCCTAGGAATATCCAATTGTCCCTAAATCATTTGCTCATAAGACTATCATTTCTCCATTGAATAGTCATTGCACCTTTGCCAAAAAATCAGATTTCCCCACTTTATCACATCCCCACTTGGGGTGAGTAGTAGCATTATCCTGCTAATGATTTTTATTATCTCTTTTTATTCATTTTTATTGAACTTTTTATCTTGTATTGGACTACAGCCAATTAGCAATATTGTGATAGTTTCAGGTGCGCAGCAGACGGACTCTATCCTTTTAACACTGCAGCATCTATTGTTTACTTTCTCATTCTTTATATTTCTAATTTGTGTTTTCTCTTTTTTCACCATGATAATTCTACCTAGGAATATAGTTTATAAATCATTTTAGCAAAATTAACTTTGTATCTCATGGCTATTTCTATTATTTTATTTCTGCTTTACCAACTTGACATTTTTATTATTTTCTTATTTCAGTTTATATTATAATTTGTTCTTCTTTTTCTATCTTTTTTGTTGAAAACTTAGATAATTGCTTTGTAGTCTTTTTCTTTAGTAGTATATGTATTTAAAAGAGAAATTCCTCCTATGTATAATGTTAGCTGTCTTATAACATTTATATGTATATGTTCTTACTATATTTTCTTTCACAATATTTTCTAATAGCCAAGTAATTATTTCTTTAACCTATGGGTTATTCTAAATTTTAATGCCTCAATTTCAAATATGTGGACATTTCTAAAGATATCATTTTGCTATTGATTTTCTTAGTCAATTCCACTTTTGATCAAAGTATAAATTCTATATAATTTCAATTTTCTTTCTCTTTTAATTTCTTTTAAATTTATTTATTTTTTTATTTTACTTTACAATATTGTATTTGTTTTGCCATACACTGACTTGAATCCACCATGAGTGTACATGTATTCCCCATCCTGAATGCCCCTCCCACCTCCCTCCCCATCCCATCCCTCTGGGTCATCTCAATGCACCAGCCCCGAGCACCCTGCATCATGCATCAAACCTGGACTGGCAATTCATTTCACATATGATATTTTACATGTTTCAATGTTCCCATATCATCCCCCCCTCGCCCTCTCCCACAGAGTCCAAAAGACTATTCAATACACCTGTGTCTCTTTTGCTGTCTTGCATACAGGGTTATCATTACCTTCTTTCTAAATTCCATATATACGCATTAGTATACTGTATTTGTGTTTTTCTTTCTGGCTTACTTCACTCTGTATAATAGGCTCCAGTTTCATCCACCTCATTAGAACTGATTCAAATGTATTCTTTTTAATGGCTGAGTAATATTCCATTCTGTATATGTACCGTAGCTTT